AACATAGTTCTCATTCCATAAAGTTTTGATCGTAGGCCTAAGTGCGATCCTCGTATGTGCGATCGACGTCCGCCTTTTGCTAATATGTAAAAATTGAAGACCTATAACTGAACTTTAGACTTAAATATCCTCTTGACAAGCAATCCTATAAGCTCTAACGAACCAAGAGACGTCAGTAGTCTCCTATACGTTTGTGCTTATCTACGTATATCTACTTCACTCGTGCTTTCATATCTTGCTGACCTGCTATGTATTTTCTCTTTGAGTTCTACCTAAAGATATAAGGGAAGCTTTTAAAAATTCACAAAGAAAATACCGACTAACAATGTACGAGGTCTGTTTAAAGAATATCGCGAATTTTGAATTTCCGCGAGTCACGTATATTCGATTTTCGTTTTTTTTTGCCGTTATGTTGGTACTCATGTCTCTCACTTATACCGACAAGTTCGGTCATGTTGAATGTTTAGTTAGTTTTTGACAGCTGCTTTGCTTGCACGTGTTTTGGCTCATTTTCAATTTTGGCTTATTTCAAAAAATAGACCAAACAATCTGTATCAAATTTTGTGCGAGAAACAAAACTGAGTGCGTGGTAGCATTCTCAATGTTGAATGTGGTATGTGGTGAAGCTTCCTTGGACCGAAGCAACGTTTATCGGTAGTACAAAATGTTCTCAGAGGGCCCAGAAGATGTGAATGATGAAGAGCGTGACGGACGCCCGACGTCAACCACAGACGAAAAAATTGATGAAGTGAAGAAAATAGTATTAGGCAATCGTCGAATCGCTGTTAGAGAAGTTGCTGAAGACCAATGATTTGGGCATAACACGGCTCGCCGTGAAATTCGTACATAAGACAACATTGCTAAGGAGCTGTTGGACCAAAATTTGCTCCAGAGGGTCATAACTAGTAACGAATCATAGGCTTATGGTTATGACGTGGAAACCAATGTTCAATCATCCCAATGAAGCTGCAGCACGAGCCAGTTAGTATACCAGCAAGTTATATGTAATTTGCGCAAAGCAATCCGCCAGAAACGCCCAGATTTTTGGAAGAACAAAAATTGGGTTTTGCACAATGATACCTTCTCTGCTCACACATCGTTGCTTGTACGCGAATTTTTGACCAAAAACAACACACTTATAATGCTACAGCCACCGTATTCCGCAGATCTGTGACTTTTTCTTGTTCCCGAAACTGAAGAGGCTTACGAAATGACGACGCTACACTACGACTGAAGTGCTTCGAGGATTGGAATATATGTGGTGGGAATTACATTGAAGGGGACAAAATAGATATTTATGAATAAATAAATAAATTTTGAAAAAACACAAAATTCGCGACACTTTTTGAACAGACCTCATATATCTATGCTAGGTCACTATTTGAAGAGGCCCCGCTAAAGTACTTGAAAGACTAGATGGTTTACATAATATGTACTACACTCGAGTGAAAATAGAAGCTTTTTGGTTGCATTAACTGACATAAAGAATTAGGTTACCAAATAAAATATCATTTGCAAACTTTAAAGATCTACGTTGGAATAAAGACGTTGGGAAAGCCCCCAATTATTGTTTTTACTTGAATTAGTTCGGAATTGTACTCTTTCCAGCATACATCGAAATAACAGGGAGATAACAGAAATTAATTAAGAAATCTACTTCTATTCTTTTAGAATTGCTTTTAGTCTTATATTTTCACTGTTTCGCGTTATTCTAACTAAAATGGGCAACGGCAAAGAAATTAACTTTTTAAATTTAAATTGAAATTTCATTCTGGCACACTTAAATTACTGCATTGTAGACATTGTAGAGTTTCAATAATGTTGCTTTAATTCGGTTACATTTTAAGGATTACTAACTTTCGGGTTATTTTGTAGTGTAGTAGCTTGTCGAATTTTAACGAAGTTCTAATTTAAGAAGTTGTTGGGTTCTTCAGCAACTCGTGGTCTACAACAAGAAAGAGAGCGCTTTCCATTCTTTAAAAGTTCTTCGTTTCAGAGCTAAGCACATGCTTGAAGTGCCAAGACTTTGCAGTTGTTCGCCTTCAAATATCCACTTTTAAGTGGAAGGTTCAGCAGAGGCACCCTTGGAAACTAAAAGTAATGTAGCTAAGTGATCTCATTTGTATCACATATTTTTTACTTCTTTGTTCTATTTTCTCTCTACGTAATTACAAGTGACATTACTGTTTCGCCTCCTTAGTTTGCAACGATAACAAAACAGTGGCGTAACTAGGGGGAGGGTTAAGTAATTTAAATCACCCCACCGGCTAGAAAAAGTTGTTAGGATAAACAAACTGACTACCCGCAATAAAAATGTTCAGTCTCTCAGTCTCTGAAAGAGAGACTCGAGTCTCCGTCTCTCATCGAGTCTCTCTGGTGTCGCTGAGAGTCAAAAAAAACTGTTTAGCGTCTCTGAATGAGAGACTCGAGTCGCTCATAGAGAGATCTTCATTTCGTATCCAATCTCTGAACGAGAGACTCGAGTCGCTCATAGAGAGATCTTCATTTCGTATCGAAAGAAGGCTGAAGAGGGTCTTCAGCCCTACCTTTCGGCGTAGTCCGGAGGGACTGCCGGCCCACCAGCATTACTGGCTGGCGGAAATGAAACACCCAAGTTTTTTAAAAGTTTTTAACCATGGCTGTTTGCATGGTTTATTTATTATTTTCGTATTTTTAAAGATGCATACTTGGATACTATAATGATTTTGTGGTAAAATTTCTCCTTTGAAAAAACATCTGAAAAATTATTTTAAATGAGACCTAATAATTTCTGGTCCTAAGATTAGCCCCTACAGTAAAGCGCCCCGAATTTTCCCTAATGCTTTAAGGATATTACCGACCCTGCCTGTTTTTGTAGTTTCTGGAAGAAGAAACTTCTCCAAATTAAAAATAACAGAACATTGTTTAAGATGAAGCATGGATCGAAATAGACTCAGCGGATTGGCATTAATTTCAATAGAAAATGCGGTGTCAAGTACATTTATCTACTTGGTTTTTTCATTGATATTTATATTGCTTATTTTTGAATTGTATGACACATGTTTTGTTTGTATATATTAGGTACCAATACATTTGCACAAATAAATTTCAAAACAAAAGTTTTTATATCTGTATATACACGAATACTTTTAAGGGCGGCTATTTAACAGTTTGTCAGAAGGCTGCCTTATCTCTGGAGACGACCCTGTACGTATTGAGAAGAACTTAAAATTGTGTGGATGTAGTCAGTGATAAATTTAATAAATATAACCTTTTTGTTCTTATCAGGTTTACACATGTCTTAAATTAATCTCAACTGGCAATCTTAACGAACGTCAAGAGGGTTGTTTATTAGTTGCGATCTGCTATTATTTACATTATCGTCTCGGACTATTTTTAATTATTAATTACTTTAAATGTTTTCTGCGAATACATTGAGATTATTAAAATCATTGTATGGAGTATCATAAATAAATGACTACTAGTAAATAACTAATAAGCGATTAATTACTATCTATAGAGGGTATTTCAATTTCCACAAATTGTATTTTATATCTTGGTTGTCTCGAATAGGGTATACGTTTGTATAAGTATAGTGATTGCACAGATCCGCCTTCAGGACAATTTTCTTGGCTTTTGAAAGGCTATGTTTTTCTCTCCTTTCAGTAAAAGGCCATAAAATATCCGAAACCTATTTTTGGAAGATATAAAAAGATGCAAGACATTTACATCAAAATGCGGCGAATAATTTGAGCATTTATTATAATAATTTTTAAATAAATCAATTTACTTCATCTTATTTTTAAATAAGTCCTTATTAAAGCAGCACACAATCGTTCTGAAATAAAATATTACTTAAAATTGAAGTTAAATATGTATTAAAATTATGACTGTGTTTTTGAAGAATAAAATTGTATTTATAATATCATTTTAAAATCTGTATCACGTGAGCATTTTTTAATGAATTTGATGTCACGCAGATGTTTATAGTTCTTGCTAAATGTTATGTAATAAAAAACAATAAGAAAGCAATGAAATTTAATATATGAAAGTCATAGCAGCTATTCATAAATTCTAAAGTACAAATGATAGCACAGCTACTTAAGATCTTCATATAAAAAAGAAATTCCTTTATTTAAGCTCGTGGCGTCTCTGAGAGTGATAAGAGGAGTCAATTTTTCTAAAATTAAAAAAATCCAATTTATTCGCAATCCGTGCAATATGCATGGACTTATTCTCCCACATACGTAGTATCCACTTCGTACGGAACGTCTTGTATAGATATGTATGAAATAACAGGTATCTATTTACGTGTATTGAGAAATTCATGAAGAAATTACTTTGATAAGATGTTATCAGTTAAATGTAGATAGAATCATCCATTAATTTCAAGCGTTGGATAAACAATTTACTACTTCATCTCATAAATTTTCGAATCTAGAACATTATATTTTTGGGTAATGATTGATTTATTTATCGCACACTGGTTTTCATTTAATGATTTTATCAATAATAGCGTTCAGCGACACGATACAGCAGGTTAGTAACAGCATTTAATTGATTAGGTTTTTCTAAACTGTCACAAACAAATCAAAGGAGATTTGTTAAAAGATAAGAGCTTTTTATTCGAATCTATAATTGTGTGTGAGTAATACTTACTAAAGCAAAATGAGATATATTTTTAATTTTTTTTTTGAAATTAATAAAATAATACCGGTATTTATTCCGAAGGATTTTATTGCTTAATTACCACTTTTAATATGTCCGTTATACGTTCATATATACGAGGTCTGTTCAAAAAGTATCGCAAATTTTTTCAAAAATTATTGTTTTATTTATAAATATTTATTTTGTCCCCTTCAAAGTAATCCCCATCAGATATTATAAGCTTGTGTTAACGTTTTTTACAAACCTCGAAACGCTTCAAAAAATAATTTTTTGTGATTTTGTTCAGCTCATCCTTCAATGATCTTTTTATTTCTTCAATTGTAGCGTAGCATCGTCCNTTATTTTGTCCCCTTCAAAGTAATCCCCATCAGATATTATAAGCTTGTGTTAACGTTTTTTACAAACCTCGAAACGCTTCAAAAAATAATTTTTTGTGATTTTGTTCAGCTCATCCTTCAATGATCTTTTTATTTCTTCAATTGTAGCGTAGCATCGTCCTTTCATAAGTTTCTTCAGTTTCGGGAACAAGAAAAAATCACAGGGCCCAGATCAGGGGAAACGGTGGCTGCGGCAATATTAGTGTGGCAGGTAATATTCCTTATTGACTGTTTTACCCTGTGGCAAGAACTAATGATGCACCACGCCCCTGCAATCGAAGAAAACTGTGAGTAAAACCTTCACATTCAACGTAACATGAAGCGCTTTTGTCGGTCTTGGCTTATGCGGCAGCTTCCATTGGGATGATTTAGCTTTGGTTTCCACATCCTAACCGTGAATCCATGATTCATCGCCAGTTATGACCCTGTGGAAAAAATTTAGGCCAAGAGCTCCTTAGCAATGTTAATGCGATGCTGTTTTTGGTCGAAATTCAGCAATTTTGGTACGAATTTCGCGGCGACCCGTCTCATGCCCAAATCATTGATAAAAATCGAATGGCAAGAGTCAATTGATATGTTTAGATTCTCAGCAAATTCTCTAACGGTGATTCGATGATTGGTCAATACTATTTTCTTCACTCCATCAGTGTTTTTGTCTGTTATTGACGTGCTCGGGTGTCCGTCGTCTTTCACATCTGCGCGATACGTTTTGAACAGACCTAGTTATTAGAAGTAAATTTTATAAGGTTTTTTTCTCTACGAAAAATTCGTTATTTTGCAGAACTTACTTGTGACTAGTGGCTTGTTTGTCTTATGCATTTCTTAATATTGGTGATGTATTTGCGGTTGAGCTTGTTTATTTTTTGTTATGGTCATTTTGTGGATTATTAACGCCAAATGTGGTCTGATTTTAAGGTTCTTGGGCGCTCATTGGTTGCTATCGCATCATGCAGTACGGATATCGGTCCATCTTCTTACGGTATATATATATAGTCAAGTCTCTGATAAAGGAGTATCTACTTCCTTGTCTTTCTCAAGGCAGTACGTTATCTTCTTCTTGGTCTTTAAAAAAAAACTTTTGGGTGTTTCATTCCCACCAGCTAGTAATGCTGGTGGGCGGGCAGTCCCTCCGGACTATGCCGGAAGGTAGGGCGGAAGGCCCTCTTCAGCCTGCTTTCAGGAATCGTGAGAATGGGTGGGTGGTGGTTCGGGTGAGAAAGTTAAGACGGACGAAATGAAGACAGAAGAGAATGAAAGATTATCTGTGGAATATTACTGCCTCAGTATTTGTCTAAGTGATCCAAGGAACCCACAGAAAAACTTGGACCAAGGCAGACGGACCCGGAATCGAACCGGCGTCCTCCTGATTGCTAAGCACTAGACCATTGCTTAGCATTCAGGAGGACCTCTAGACCATGCCGCTCGGTTCTTCTTGGTCATCATCGAGACAAGGCGTTAGGATCTGCTTCCCCTGCCTAGTCTTCGTCGAAACGGGACGGATTTGAGTGTTGTGACTGCATTCAGTTATCAGTAATAGATATCAATTTTTTCTGCACTGAGGTTTTAGAGATAACTTTTACTGAGTCGCCCCTTTCTTTTGTAATATAGTAATTTTGTCAATAAACACTCGATTGTTTATAGTTCATAAACATTTCGTTTTATTTACTGCTGACTTGATATCTCACACATATTGAGTGTTTGAATATTGAGTGTTTTACTGATGTCCGATTAAAGTCCTTGAGTAATCCTGATATTTTTCCATAAGTTTATTTCCTATTAGCTCTTTTTAGAATTTTAAGGTCTGATTAATTAATTGATGCTTTGTATTAATAAGCCCCTTAAGTGTTTTAGATTGGGGTGGTTTTTACCAGAGGATACTAGTTTCTAACGTTTATATGAGGTGAACAATTCTTTAGAAGTGTGAATATCTTTTGTAAGCATCCTGGGTCCAAAATAGTAGAAGAAAACTATAATAACTGGTGATTATTTGAAGCTTTTGGAAATCCTATTGAGAATTTTGGCTGTTGGCCTTGGTTACTTTTACTGTTTTCCTGTACTTGTCCAGGTCTTGTATATTTCAAGATCGCAGTTATTTGAATCCCTTTTTAAGAAGATACCAACTTTAGGTAGGTGCTATTTTACGTTCACGCGCTATTCTTCAATTTTGTTGAGTAAATTTCTTTCAATTTTTGTATGAGAACTTGGAGCTCTCATCTTAAATCAGGTCAGCACGTTGAGTTTTCCCGGAGAAATTCTTTTGGTTTTTTGCTTGGGCAAAGTAGCGTCCGAGTTTCATTTGTATGTTTGAGGTAATTTCTTATACACAACGAATGAACGAAAAGGATTGTATTTCGATAAAATTTATAGATAGATAGATACAAAAATTACTTTGGATCACACGGCACATAAGTACCTAGAGTAATTTATGAGCGAACGTATCCGTTTTAAAATTCCATAAGAAATAAAAACGCTTGCACATGTATTAGGGGTTTCTTAATGAAAACGGCATTAGATTTATAGCAAAGTACATTAGTGTGGAGTCGTTTACTTATTAATTAAGCGGTTTATTTTCGTTGTGGCTAGTTTTAAAGGAGAATAATTTAACTGTTTGATTATTGGGATGCCTAGGAATTTCAATACGAGTGCTTCTGTGAGTTGTGAGAATATCTATAGAACAGGGAAACTAATCAACGACCAGGATAATTGCTTAAGTGATGGATTAAACCTAATTAACATTGTGCAGGAAGTGTAATAGTTAGACGAGAAGTAAATTGGATATATTCAAACGGCGAACCCTTCCCTTACCGATATTTCCAAACGTTTCTGGACAATAAATATTTTAATGATATCAATTGATGTGTAAACTCTTTATAACGAAATTATTTATGACGAAATGCTCCCTACTAGAGGACCTCTGCTTTCGCTTCCGCAATTACGGAAGTCCCGCATACATTTTCACATTCGCTTCTGCTCTGGTTCCGCATTCTTATAAAGGAAGCTTATCGTAACTTAACAAAATCTTATTTCTCATTTTTTTGAAAATCAATATATCGGAACAATAAAACAAGTCGTAAAAATTTATT